ATCCTCGCCTGAGGATATTTTTTCCACTGTTGTTTTATTTTGTTTTGTTTTGTTTTGTTTTGTTTTGTTTTGTTTTGTTTTGTTTTGTTTTGTTTGTTTTTTAGAGAGAGTGGAATGGGGGGGGGCATCAATGTGAGAGACACATTGATTGGTTGCCTCCTGCACACACCCCAACTGGGGCTGGGGAGCAAACCTGCAACTCAGGGACGTGCCCTTGACCAGAAAACCCGCGACCCTTGGGTGAGCAGGCCAATGCTCTTTACTGAGCCGCACCGGCCAGGGCTGAATTACATACTTCTCTTAGGCGAGAGGGGTCTAGCAGTGATAAAGACATTTTAAATGATCAGCCTAAATCTAATGTGTAACTTGCCCAGATCTGTCCCACTGTATTTTGCCATGACTGTATAATAATTTTTTGGGCCTTGTTCCAGAAAGACTTTATGCTGCTTACAAAGTACACATAACCTAGAAAGATAAAACAAAGGAGGTGAAGAAATAAGGGCATAGGGACCTGAACAGAAAAGACAAGATGAAGCCAGAAATGCTATTACGCAAGTCTGGCTCTAAGCTTCCTAATTAGAAGGAAAATGAAATCAGTTGCATGATTTACCAGGTCGATGAGAGAAAACTATCCATTTGCTTAGTAAAAACTACTTTTCCTGTGACTGATCCCAGAGAGCAACTTCTGAATGTCCTCAGAGGATGAGTGTAGCAGGCACCATCCTTAGGGTGCAGATCCGGCCGGCACAGCCTGAGCATGTGTCCCGGCCCAGAAGATACTGAAGACCACGCTGCTATGAGAAAATCTCGGAGGCAGGAACTGTCATCAAAACTGCCAGAGCCTCGAAGGCTGAACAAATAAAGCATCTTCCCACCACGGTGAGGAAAGGCTATCGATGCGTTTGTGTTGTTGATTTGGGGGCAGGTAGGAAGTAGCAAATTCAATCAATTTAAGAGAAAAGTTGTGTGAAGTTTGGAAAACGAATGGTGGTTATAGAGAAGGGTCCAAAGGATCAAAACCTAACAGAGGAGGAGCACAGACCTGCAGAAAGAACCAGTATGTAGACAGAAAAGTGTTCTGCATGGGGATGGAAACAAGCAACGGAACCTGTCAAATACAAAAGCACCAGAGTGAAGCCGACCGAGCACACCAGGAGGTGGTGCCTAGACTGACGGTGACGTGTTCTCTTGGCACCTTAATAAAAAGTTGACTCATCAGATGTCTAGATGAAGACATTTCTGAACATGGCCCAATTCCCTCTGCTCCAATTCCGCATCCACCAGGCATCTCCCTGACCATGAATTACTTTTCAAGGAAATCCTCCCCTGGGAATATAAGGCGCCTCACACAGACATCCTGTCCAGCTACAGTGATTGCACCAGCTCTCCGGCACAAAGCATCTAATGTGGGGCTCTGCGCAGCAAGCCATGTTTTCAGGACTCGGACCCTCAGATAAGCAGACAGCTTCATGTTTACTTACAAAACAAAAGCCAGAACAATGGATACGATAAGCCTCTTCCACCTGTGAATTCAAGACTCTAAGGTGGAGCTTGAACAACTCGCCAGCGTTACCCTTTCTGTTACACATCCTTTACATTTAAGTTAACGTTCACTGTGTTATCCTGAAGCCCTTTCCCAAACCTTCAGAGGTGAAGGACATTCCCGGGACACAAGCCGCTTCCCAGTGGACTTCTGCCAGGTGCCTATCAGCAAAACTTCCTTTGGACTTGTTGGCAGACTCTATGTTACAGCTTGAAAAACAAAAGAAACGAAGCTTCTTGACTGAAAGTCTGCATAACTGGTGAAGTCTGCCAGTGAGCAATTCCTAATCCTCTATCGTGGGCAGAGCAAACAGTAAGGTTAAGTGTATTTCCTTTGTGGGGAGCAGAACCTAAGACATTGCAAAGGCCTGGAGACACGCATGCCAGCCAGCGAGAGCAGCCTCCAGGAACCTGGAAGGACGCCAGTGTTTTCCTTGGGTTTGTCAAATAGATACTCCTGGGTTTCTTTGTTCCGTCTTAATAGATTTTGGTCTGGAACGGGAATTAAGTTTACTCAACTCCATGACCTGAAAAGAATACTGAAATCTTAAAAAAAAAAAAAAAAAAAAGGCCAAAGAAACCTTTCCCCCATAACAAGTAACCAAGGCCTCTTAAGAGGTAATAAATGTGTACAAGGAATTACTTACTTTGAAATTGTTTCCTGACAAGAGAGCTGCACCCATAGTAAGAAATCCTAAGGACTAAGAGACTCCATGAAAACAGTCATCTGATCCAAAAATCCCTTTCAACTCCTATTTTGTTTCTTAAAGAGCACCTTAAACTAGCTAAGACCTAAGGAACTGCTCACCTTCCTTGCCTCTTCCATAAGCACAAAGTTTGCAATTCTAAGATTATGCTATTATTTGGAGACTTCTGGGAAGACTCCAGAGGCGCTACCAAAATTAAGACAACAGCACTCGGGCTAACTTCTGCCAACCCCAGAGCAGGCTGCCAACACTGTCAAGCTATGGCTGCTGCTGTGTGGGGGATGCTGTGTGCCAATTCCAGCTCTGGCTCTGCTCACTAGCTGCCAATGGCCTCTCCCCTACTGTTTGAGCATTTCTGAAAGGAGCATTTCCTGTCATTTATAAACTCGAAGTTTGCCAAGCAAGTACTGCCTGAGCCAGCTGCTAGGCGGAACTACAGACTTTCTGTCTGCTGGAAGAACCAACTCTTTGGCTCTATGGGAAAAATCAACCTGGCGGTTCCAGGAAGAAGGGTATGAACAGAGGCAAGGGCTTTAGCCAAAGGCGAGATACATCCATTCTACTTCCACGTTACAAAGCAGAAGTGGGAAAACGGGAGGAAAAAAGGAAACAACCGTAAAGAAAGAGGAAGCAGGACG